TGCAATTGTTAATTAGGTGAATTTTAGTTTAGATGTCTGTTAATTTTAGGAAAATTTGGATTTTGTTTTTTGAAAATTTGAGAATTGTCGGATGAAAGAGACCGTAAAGCAGCACTCAGAACCCAGTCACATGTATCTGAAAATACTGTCTCCACCACTTCATTTTGCTCCTTTTTTTTTTTTCTTTCATAATTCTTTTATTTTCACTTGAGAAAAAGCAATATCATAGAGACTCTAGAGCAAGTGTTCATCCGTGGTGCTGCTGGTGATTAATCTGGATTTATTTGATATGCAAGGTTAAAATTTTAATTATCTGAGTAAATTATATAATTTTCCTTGCTACCTGCATGCGTGTACTCACCACGTTTGTTAAAATTTTTCTTAAAGTGCAGGGTGACCAGGCTTCTATAGTGGGTGGTGCCATTGAGTTCGTGAAGGAGTTGGAGCACCTTCTACAATCCCTTGAAGCTAAGAAGCTCAAACTAAAGCAAGGATTAACAGGACCTAATTACAGCACTGAAAATGCCACTACAACCTCAGAGTTTCCACCGCCACCCTTTTCCCAATTTTTTGTGTGTCCTCAGTACACTTGGTCTCAAATTCCTAGCAATTTTACGTCAAAGACTGCGGCATCCATAGCCGATATTGAGGCTACTTTGATTGAAACTCATGCAAATCTACGAATTCTTTCAAGAAGAAGCCCTACACAACTTTCAAAGTTAGTTTCTGGATTTCACATGCTTTACCTCACTGTCCTCCACATCAATGTGACCACCATGGACCCATTGGTTCTCTACTCAATCAGTGCCAAGGTATGTACAGTCAAAATAACTTGTGCCATATATTGTTTGCACAATTTTGCGCATTTAAGTCTTTCTTCACTTTATTTCTGGGCCCTTGCATAAAAGAATAAGAAAATTTGAATCCTACTAATATATTCTTTTGTCCCTTTGGGTGCCATCTCTATCAGTATATAGCATTTTTATTCAAAGGAGATTTTATATCATGTTGAGAAAAATGCAGTCACTTCCATTGATTAAATATTATTGAATAAATATTATTGAACATGTTACATTGATCATTGATGGGTCGTGTATTTCATTCTGTAAGCATGAACTATAGCAAATGACCCCACAGTAATGAGATTGATGGCGAGGAAATCTGTAGCCATTTCATAAGCAATGGTCTTCAATTATTGTCGTATGGGGTAGAATGGGCAGGTTGAGGATACTTTCAAGTATTTTCGGGGTTTCCTAAGTTTAGAAATGCATGTCTCTTTGCCTGTTCTACCAAAATGAATCAGTTCTCGAATAAATTTGGAACATTATTAATGCAGCTCGAAGAAGGATGCCAACTTACATCAGTAGATGACTTAGCAGGAGCAGTCCACCACATGCTTAGAATAATTGAGCAAGAAGCTGCCCTATGTTGATCAAGTCATCATCTATCCAAAATGCCCATTGATTTGGAACAAAATCACCATAATGCCACCCACTTTTCCCTACTGCAACGAAGTTTCTGGTCTTCTTTCTTCGGTCTTTCAAAGTGTTTGTAGTGTAGTTGTGTTTGGTTCCTCCTGGACATAACTGTTGACCTGTAATTTTTCAGTTGTAATAATGGTGTTTTCAAACAGAAATGAAATGGGACGATGGGGGCTACAATGGGATTTGGGCAGCCTGGCTATGATGGTAAGGACCTGGCATGCGAAGGTATCTGTTTCAGAGAGTACTGAAAATTAATTGTGAATTATATGGATAAGAGTGCATTGTCTTCCCTTAACCTTTTTGGTTCTTTGTACAACTTCTTTCTTCTAACCTGATTCTCTGATTTGCATGTGAGATCTCAATCTATACCTGATTGGCTAGGGTACTTAATTCTTCCATTGGATTGCGCTAGATTAGCGTAATTTGCATGGCCTTTACCTTTTACCAAGAACAGAAAAACACAAGATTTTTTGAATGTCTGACAATATCAAGTAATTATGAGGCCTATTTGTGACCTCTCCAACAATGCCTTTTAGAAAACCATGCACTACAGGATCGGTTAAGCTAGATATATAGAGGTTTCATCTTGCTGCCTTCCTTTTATCTTCTTATCATGAATTGACATGAGCTTGTGATTCTCATTAACTAATCCTCTACTTATATCTTCTTATCATGAATTGCCATGATCTTGTGATTCTCATTAATTAATCCTCTACTTGTACTTGGGTGGTCGAATGACCCGCTTCAATGTTAGCGGGAAAAGAAAAGATTATTATCCTCTCGAGTGCCCTCAATGAAACATAATATGATAACAGCAAAAAAATGTTTAATGGTTGGCTCTCTAGAGATTACTAATAATTAATAATTATTTATAGGCGTGAATGCCGCCTTACTATGTGAGCAAAATCATGCAAGAGGACGAAAATTTTACGCATTCATGGGGTAACATCGCAAAGATAGCCCTTTTGTTCAAGAGCAACGGTTCTCTTTAATTATGAAGTTGCTAGAGATGGAACTGTCAAGCAGGACAGCATAAATTACATAATTACGCTAATATTCATAATGAACTTAATCTTGCAAATGGTGATCCCAGATCAAAGTCATCATAGAAATTTTTTATTAAATCCATAAATAATTAGATGCTTCATCATGTAAATAAGCCCTTAATAACTAATTAAGAACGTTATCACCACAAACGCGCGCAAACCACATCCATTTTTGGGTCTCTGGCTTTTTGTTTCTTCGTGAAAAGAATGGAAGGTTGACATTGCACAAGGTGGTGGTGGGTCTGGGAAAAGGTGATGAGTTTTTGTAGTTCAGACCTGAAAGTAAAAAGTTTTTGTGGGATCGATGCATTTTACCTTATTCATTGATTCTTAGCTCCCATTTTTGTTCTTTGCGGAGGATAAATCTGAATTCTAATTAAAACACATGTCTTCTAGTGTAGCAAGACAGAGACATGGCTGACCCTAACGTATGATTCATAGAGAAAAGAGAAAGATGGGATCTTATCACTTAGGCACCGTCACGTACGTGGTCCAATTTTATGCCCTGTGTAATCTTCATGAATCGCATGACTCTTTACTAGATAGCTGATAAGTTCTTGAGATTTATAGCAGGAGTTTGCCCTAATATGGATAGCATTTAATTGGTTTTGCTAATTCTTGCATTACCTTCGGCTTTCTAGCAGCTCTAGCTAGTTTCAACAAATATTACCCTTGAAGTTGATAGTTTTATTCTGTAAATATACCATTTTGTTTTGTTTGTTTCTTGTATATTTGTTTTCCTATTCCCTAGCTCGTTAATTATGATATTTATATATATTCTAAATTTATTTACAAAATTACTTAATATTCCAATCAAAGCAAACCAATCACTAACACCATACTTGATTAGAAAATCTCTGATATTCTATCAAAACATTATATTAATTTAAAAATTTTAAGATGGTAGATAAGTCTAACAAATACTTTTATATTATTTTTTGATAAATCTAAATATAATTATCGGACTCAAACCTAAAATATAAATTATAAATAAATGGGGCATCCACTCATAAGTCAATTAATTTTTTTTAACGAAAAACTATAAAAAAAACTATAACAAGGTTATTCTCTCTCTCTCTCTCACGCACATGTATAAGCAATACGTTGACCCTATTAAATTTATATGAAATTGGGTTAGATGGGTCTACTGAATTGATCCTTTTAAACTTAACACAAGTTAGGCTGCAAGCCGACTCATTATATGGGCCCTGTTAGATAACACTGATCTAAAAGGGGAAGAAAGAACTCATGTTCTAACTAATATAAGGCCCACACCGCCGCAGCTTTTCCAATTTTCATATTCAGTAATAGAAAGAAAACTCCATCGACAGTAAAGCCCTTGAGACAGATTACAGTACAGCCCATTAATATAGGACCTAATGAGCCCATTGGGCTCCCAATAACTAAAATAAACCAGTTGCGGTTTTCGGTGATAGACATACCATCTCATTCCCAGTGACCCAGTTGCGGTTTCCCCTTCCCCCCCTTTTTTTTTTTTTTTTTCCGTCTATCCTTTTTTTCCCACTTGAATTTTAAATTCATGACACTAAACGTTAAGGGGAAAAAAAAAAAAAAAACCCTTTAAACGTACACGAGTAATTAAATATTAAAATCATGATCCAGGGCTCACAAATTTTTTGGAGCCTTTTGTTTATCACAATTATAGTAGAGGGATAACATACTCCAACCCCAAACTCCTCCTCCCAAATCTCACTTCGAAATCTAGTTTCATTGTTCTAATTCTGAGGTTTATGCAATAGGCACATGGAACCAAGACCAGAGGGAAAACAAAGTTGGCTTCCTTTGTTCTAAGGCATGGCATTTTATTTTGATCCTTTGTCAAAATATTCCACACTGCTAAGCTGATTCACTAGTTTCATGTGAAACTGTTCAATTGTTTTTTGACCTCTGCAGCCACCCTTCGTCAACACTATAATTAAAGGCGCCGAGGTAATAATTTCTAGCGGGCCTTGATCCGCTGAGGCCAGCCTCTCATCTCTATCTTCTCTTCTTTCACCATCATTTACAGAATTGGGAGAGCAAAATGCCACGGCATTTTATTTTTTCTTTCCAGGCTAATGTTAGTCTATCTACATCAAGATCTTACATATAAAGATGGTTAGTGTTTCAGTTAATTTGGCTATGTTGAGAGAACTTGAGAAAATCATGGTAAAGATAACCATCTTTTTTCAAGACTTGAGGTGGAGTTCATAGATTTCGGGTGCGCAAGTGGAGATTTTTGGAAGTACTGATGTTCTGAGCATGAGTTTATGAACAAATTTCTTTTGAATTAATGGATTTAAAGCTTATGCATTATTTCTATTAATTTATCTAAATACAATGATCTAGTTGATACTGCTTGCCGATATCTCAATGGCAGATTTAGCATAATTGAGCTTCGAGCAACGAGTTAAAAACAGGAAAAAATGGGAACTGGTTGCATCGTAGCTGTTAGCAAACTAATGAACCATAGAGAACAAACAAGATTTGCAAGACATATAGATATGTCCCTCGTCAATTTTATACATTGGAACACAATTCTCACGCTTACAGTACTTTATCATAACATTGATTGATGGAAAATATAACCATCAATTGAAAAAAAAAAAAAAAACAGAGTTTCTGTTTAAACAAGACTTGTGGTGTCACGCATTCTTCCATGCCTGGTGAGAAAGAATCTTCCACTTGAAAATGATCTCTTCATGGTAACAGGATTGAGTACACAATGCAAGACTCTTCTGCTGCTGCTAGACACGCATTTGCTGATTTCTGCTGAATGTTTCGATGATCCAACATCTGCCGTGCAGTCTTCTACTGGAACAACTTCATCCTGATTCATTCGAATAATTTCAGCGATGGAGGTGTGGCTTTGACATGGATGATCCATTGAAAATGATCTCCTTATGCGTTGATTTCTATCAATATCTCGCATCTCAATTATGATATCTCTCTCTTCCAAGTTCCCCGAATCACTAAACACTCGTGACGGAGTCTTTGGAGCCCCTGCAAGATTCTGTGTCGCTTGTTCATCTCTAGCAACCCTTTCTGTGTCTTGTGTAACAGACACATTGTCATTAGCTCGTTGGCTTTCTTGCAAAGATTCATTGCCTTGAGGCGTATCTGTCACTGGAGGAGGCAATTGAGGCAGGGAAGCACTAAAGAAGACTATGTTGGCACGACATAGTGGGCAATTCGAGTGAGAGCGAAGCCATGTATCAATGCAAGGGACATGGAAAGCATGGCTACACTTTGGCAAAAGCCTTACGCTCTCATCTTCTTGAAACTCACTGAGACAAACTGAGCAATCTGTCCCTTCAATCAAACCATCTCCCTTTCTGTACTTGCATACTGTGATGGACCTTATAAGAGCTTCATCTACGCCGGTTGTTGCAGCATGCCATGGCTCGTGGAGAGATGAGTTGTGATCGTCCTCAAATTCCTCATTTTGTCCATGATTTTGGTCCCTTCTCCTTGCCGAATCATCGTTTCCACAATATTTAGATATGATGGTATAGTAACATACTAGAAGGAAAGCACTGGCCAGTATGCCTATAATGGCAATGACAAGAGGAGAAAAAATTGGACTCGAATCGTCATCAGGGAACTCAAAGGGAGGCGGAGGAGGGGAGATGATGTAACACCATTGCGGGCAGTATAAGCTACAAAATCCTTGAGAGCAGTCTTTAATGTTCACGTGTGGAATCCATGTTTGGGGGGCGTCTAGAGATGCCATGGCAAGCTTTACAAACTATATGACTCTAAAATATTAGCATTTCTGACATGATGCATACATTCTACCACCCAGTATTATGCTAGAAATGCGAGAAGAAAATCATTTGGACCATATTTGTGTTGGACCGTTAAGCAAAAGAGCCTGAAAAAAAAAATGTTCTTCGCAACTTGGTGGAAGAAAAAGTGAAACAATAAAATTTTGGTAAGAATTGGTTTGAAAATAATTTCATAAAACCAATGATATTGATTTGCTGCGAAAAGAAGAAGAAGAAGAAGATGAAAGATAGAAGAGAGATTACCTTAGAAGTGTATTTGGAAAGGATGGCTGGAGTGTTTCTTATTAATGATGATGAGATGCACATGAGCAAGATATTATGAACTGATGTTGTATTATCTAGGTTAGAAGAAGACAGAACAGCAAGAACAGAGAGAGTTCAAGAGATTAAAATTTCGGATACCACAGAAGAGGGAGGTTGGAAAATAGGGGAAAGATGCTATCAAGATAAGAAAAGGTAAGAATGTTGATGGGAATTCTTTCTTTTTCTCATCTTTTTCTTGTTCATCCCCTTTTCTTTTCTTTGGTACCACCTTTTTTTTTTTTTTTCTCTTTGGGAGATAATGGTTTGTTGACTAAGGGGGTGGAATTGGTTGGAGAATTCATTAAAGTAATCAATGCTTTTACTATTGTTCAAAACTGGTGCAGTTGGGGTGAGTGTGTAGCATGGGAACTCCTTTCCCCCATTAATCACTTGCATGTATGTCTACGTCTGTCCAAAGTAGATATCAGTAGCCAACAATTCTCCTAGATTTTCCATTACCACCATCGCAAGTGCAGTCCGCCGTCATCAAATCTTTTTCCCTCCTGGCAGGCAGGCAGCTACGCCGAAAGAGGCCACAAAGAATTTCTCAGGGTGGAGGTTGTGGGATACTGTGATCACTGTAATCCTCTTGAATTTTCCTATTATTTAATTTTCCCAATATTTGTTCAAGTGTTGTTGGCAGGCTTTCTAATCTCTATTGCGTGGTATGGAAAGAGGGAAAGGGGCCACAGTACAGGAAAGAAAAGAAGAATACTTGATGGGAGACAGACATAATTATTCAACTCACTCTAAGGTTCCATTTTCTACACTCAGTGCATCGAAGCACCGCTTTGTGGACCTAAGCAAATGGTCTTTAGATTCCACTGCAGATATTGAGCATATATTTTCCCATTTTAATTAAAATTAGCATCGTTTTCTTTTATCGTTCAACGGAGGTGACTAAGCCTTTCAGCAATAGTGGGGCTAAGATATCAACACGACATAATTTAGCTAATGGTTCCTGCTGAGACTTTGAGACAGTCATTAAAAAAAGAAAAAGAAAAAAGGTCCTAGGTCCAAAGTATGAGAGCATATGTAATACAGCTAAACATTTGGTTGTGCGAGATTTATGTAAAAATATATTTATTATCAATAAGCATATTATTTATTTTTAATATTTATTTATGTTTGATAACAAAAAAATTCTTATAATAAAAATATTTAACAAATAAAATTATAAATTAATTATAATTATGAAATTTTTATTATACTAAAGCATTGTTATTAAATATTCTTAATTAATATTTTAAAAAAACTGGATGTTAATTAGAGTTATTTAAACCAATATATATTATGTTTTATATTTTTAATAAAAAAAAATAATAATTATATTAAGAAATTAGTTATAAATAAATTAAATCAAATAAGTTATAACTAGAGTTATGAAGTTTTTTTTGGAAATAAAATATTATGTCTTATATAGATTATACAATGTTTTAATATGACAAGATGAAAATACACCTTAAAACACAAAAAAAAAAGTTAAATTACTTAAACTTAACAAAAAAAATGCCTAGAAATCACTTTAAAATAATATAAAATCCATTTATTTATTTATGTATTTATTTATTTTGTCAACAATTAAGTTTCATTGAAGAATATAGCCTGATATAGATAGCTTACTCATGTTTGTTTATTAAAAAATAATTTTTTTAAGTAAATTATTTTTTGATATTTAGTAATGTCATAAGAAATAAGTTAGAAAATTTTTTTCAGTATTTGACTAAATCATGAAAAATAACCTATTAATATTTTTTTTCAAGTTTATTAAAAAAACGAGGATCAAATCTTACAAATAAAAAAGTTAAAGGATGAAATTAAAAAAAATATATTTTTTTAAATTATTTAAAATAAAATAAATAATAATTAAAATAATAAAAACCAAATCTAATAAATAAAAAAAATAAAAGATGATAAAATTAAAAAAATTACAATTTCACAAATTATTTCAAATAAAAAAATAGCAATAAGAAGACTACAGATCAAATATGATAGAGAAAAAATTCAATTAAAAAATAACAAGAGAAGAGCAAATAACAATAAAAAAAATAAAAATCAAGGTTTATACAAAAATAAAATTTAAAAAATTATAAGAAATGAAATAAAAAAAAATAAAAAAAATACATAACAATCAAAAAATTTAAAATAAAATTTAAAATAATCAATAAATAATAAGATATTTATGAAGCTTCTACAGTTTTCCACTCAAAATTAAAAAAATATTTTTTTAAAAAAAATAAAATAAAGTATATAGCAATTAAAAAATTAAAAATCATATTTAAATATTTTCTTTCCAAAAAAAAAATTTAAAAACCAAGTAAAATTTTATATTGACTATGAAATATTTTTTATTAACTGATTTTTTTAATAATAAATAAAAATATTTAAAAATATATTTTTTTAAAATCACCTATCATCAAACAAAACAAACAAGCCTTGAATGTCACTGAAGAGTCAGCGCGAGAATACAGGAAAGACTACGCTACTAAGATATGTAATTGCATGAGCGCAGTTTTCAGTGAACAGAACAAACTTAAAAGCGGCATGTGTGTGAGTACCGAGTACCAAGAACTATGTTTCCTTCTCAACAAGCAACCACCTCTTGGCCTTGTGGACCTTTTCACTTCTTTTCATTTTCACTTTATCAAGTGCTCTACTTTCCCTTCTCCAAAGTCACCCATTTCCACACCCTTAGTGACCTTGTAATAACCTTATACGTGCACACACACACACACACACGCTAATATTAGATTATTAATCCATCATAGCGACTTGCTGGTTTCTATAAAGTCCCAGAAACACACATCTCAACTCCCCATGATGCCCATGGCAATTAGAAACAAGCAAGGTATCTCGACACAAACGGGACTTCAGCAATCATGTGTTCGATTTTTAATCACAGATCTATGCTATTTGAAAATGAAGCCACCTCCTTCACTTTCCTCAACGTTTGCCGGGTCATCAAGCAACCAACAAAAAACACCTGTTGATGCTGACTAGGATCAAGATGGCATTGAATCTCTCTAACCAGCAAGAACCACCCATCTTTTGAGAGGGAGAGAGAGCATATGATCCTTCAGGAAGATCATGTCGTTTTCAATGCCATGTGGTCGCAAGAGTTCATAAATAATCGGAGGGATTCGACACAATCAGGATAGATAATATGCAACAATGGAAAGAATAATATATAGGATACAATCAACTTAGAGAATCCTATCTGAAAAACATAAACTATGTATATTCGATATGACTACACGAAACTAGGGCAAAACTAGCTAAAAATTATGCATTTATGAGGGTATAGTGCTCGCTGATAATGAGATAGAAATCTTAAGTAAACATAAATAATAATAATAATTTGAAGTAACCGAAATTTAAAAAAAAAATACTTTTAAAATACAAATATAAACAGGATATAAACTTAATGGACAACTTCCTCTCCATCTCCAAAGCCACACCGACTCTATAACTTTGATGGCTTGTCTTTTATACTAATTCATGCTACTAAAAGACAGGATTATCTTGACCAATGTAGTCTTACACGAAGTTCCAAACTGACTTCATATCTAAACATCCTATGATACCCTCAAGCAAACAGCTAGAAGAAAGATACCTCAACAATTCTTGATTCTATCTCTCATTCAGTCTTTTTAATTATGAGACACAACAAAAGGCAACAGTACCCCCTTTTTCTTTCTTCAGTCTGCCCTGATCATCAAGTGAAAAACAAAAATTAGCTACCAACAACATCAAGATAAGCTCGAACCTCTACTGTGTAAAGTCCATCTTCAGATGGAGCATGAGATTCCAATCAACTTAACAGAGAAGAAAATAACTACTTAATTTCATATCATAATATTGAAATCAAAGTATAAGCAGCATCGGAAGGATACAGATGATCATAATAGATTTCAAACCATAATAAGAATGACTTCAGCCATTTGCAAGTTTTATTGGAGTGCTAATTCAGTCATAATGACGGCACAAGTAGACAAAACAAGGTAGTCATAATGACAGTAATCTCAAGTTCCAGTCCAGTCAGAATCAATCACAGCAAGTTAGCAGCAAAGAACAGCACAGATTAAAGCAAATGTATGACACCTACGGGGACCCATGACAAAACTCCAAGTAGCAAGGAATTATCTGAATGCCAAAACACTTACTTCATCAAGTGTCGATTGTTGAAACAGCTTTTACCAGTCTATCAATTGAATCTATTCTCCTTTTCCTTCTTCTTATAAAAAATTAACTTGGGACCTATGCTAATCACACCGCAACCTCTTAAAATTAGATAAGGGATTGATTAAAATTAGAACATTTATTGTAATATCATATAGAAAATTTATCTTCAACGATTATAGATACTAGAAGATGAAATTCTTTATTGTTCCACTCATTCGGTATTGAAGACAAGACACAAGTCAACATTCCTATGAAACAGGGCACTTACAAGAACCTTGAAAGAGGCAACACTGCAACTGCAAGTTACCCCCTAGAACGGAATTTTAGAAGCCAATAAAATCTCATCGTAAGCCTTGCTAGCTACAAGCACATAAGAGATATGAAGATTTTGAATCAATATATTGCGGTTTAATCATTTATTTTTCAATCCAACCTTTTTGGAATACTTGTTTATCAGCACCTAAATAATTTAATTAGCGGATGCAAGGAACATGCCAAAAATCAAGTATGCAGATTTTAAACACAGGCTTCAAAAATAAATTTCTTAAAAGGCTTTCTTTTCTTTCAATTTGTTCCCCAATTAATCTTCATCATTGAAGGGGAGAATTCCATAACGACATTATACCTATCCTCTGGATTTTACATCTAAAGGATGGCTAACATAATAGGGGAGGCCTTCATCCATAATTTCCCATCCCTGGGTAAAATTGAGATTGAGTAACCAATGTCGCTGGTACAAAGTGAAAGAAATTTAAAAAAAAAAGAAAAAAGAAAAGGAAAAGGAAGTTAAATGCGGTCGCAGCACCTAAAGTCATGTTCCAGCAAAGAAACTTGGAAAAACGCTGCATAAAAAAAAGGTGGAAAAGAACTTCGATTATGTAATCATAAATTTAAAATGTCGTGTGTTTGTACATTTTTAAGGCTGTACTGGCAGGAAATTATTATATTATTTTATAGATAATTGTGAAAGGTATTTTTATATATATATTTGTTTAGAAGCATAA